AGCTTGTGTTTCTAGTTATATACTCTCATATTCATAAGTTTGAATTGTATTTTTGAGAGAGTATACTTTCCTTCTACACCGGCTAAGTTTTGTTCTTCATTTTAATATTCTAGCCGTTGTGTAGAATCTACTTTTGTGTTCTTCAAACACATCTTCTTACGGTCGAGAATAGCCGTCAAATTCTCACGTTGTAACGGTTAAGGATAACCGTATAAATCCTTGGGTAAAGGTTCAAGGATAGCCTTTGAAATCCTTGGGGGAACGGTAGAAGATAGCCGTTAAATCTTCGTTGTAAACGGTTCAAGATAGCCGTTGTGAAATCTCGGAGTGAATCCTATTGGCAAGGGTTGTTTGCCAAAACTAGTGCGGTGCTTTGACGGAGTTCAAGAGGCCGAGACTTAGTGGATTCGGAAATCCTTGAGGAGGAGCCTCGAGGTACTAGAGTAGGGGTTTCTCAAACCAGTATAAATTCGGTGTGCATTTTATTTACGCTTTTATTTTTGCGTTTTATTTATTGCTTCCGCATTTGCCAACACCGTTTTTATTAAACTCCGAAAAGTTTTTAAACGCCTTATTCACCCCCCTCTAAGGCGTGGGCACAACGACTAAACCGACTAACAGGCGTGAGTGCATACCTAGTGGTCTTTGAGTTAAGAACATACGTACGGGGGTCCGAAACCTGTCTGGAAATGCAAGAGAGGGGCTCTACATCGCCTTAAAGAAGTTCACCGAGGTTTCGAGCGTGGCTCTAGGTAGTATTTGGATGTCCATGACTCTAGTCTGTAGAGAATGAGACTTAGTTATCATAGGTTTAGAACACTGAATAGATGACAATGCTAGGATGCCTCTTGAATGATAATAATGTGATATGATGATGTGACTTATCATATGATATTCTATAATTTCATGGTGAATGAGAATTGCTAGCATGATGTTGTAAGATCGTGTATGTTTGTAGTATTATTCTGTAAGTAAATTCTATGTTAAGTATACTCTCACTCAACTGTTTGCTGAGCATGTAGTCTTTGTCGTCTTGGACTGCACGCAGGTAAGAATCAGGGATTGGATGAGCACTCAGGAAGTCAGTGATGCTTGGTGAAGTGGATGGCCCAAAGTTGTTATACGTTGAATTAATTATTCCGTTAATCTCATTTCTTTAAATTACGAGAATGTTTTGGTGATGTTTATTTCAAAGGTTTTCACAACGTTTGATTTATTAACTCCGGTCGACTTATTTATTCTAAATTATGATGAGTGGATGTTTTATTTTAAATGTTTTAAATTAACTTTCGCGTGGATACCAATTCTGTGGCAAATCAGGTCGCGAACTCATTTACTCAGGTTACGTGGGTTGGGGTGTTACAACATAAATCATGCGAAAAATGGTCAATGTGGTCAACACCTCTATTCACTCCCCTCTAGAAGTGCACGCGAAGTCTAACAATTACCACAATAATAGCATTTCCCTATGAATTTTGTCTTTAATTATGACGCCTCTTTTAGAACCAATATTGTTTTTGTAACACCCCAATCCCTATAACCCAGAATTACACGAATTAAGGTGAAACCGGAGTTAAATAAAAATTTCGCTTGACATTTGAAAATGACAATTTCTTATAAATATTAAATTTACACACTCTGGATCGCGACCAATTTAAAAATATTTTCGGAGTAATGCGGAAGTACAATAGTAATCAAATCATGACACATTTACAATTCTGATGATCAAACATTTGCCTGCAATCCCTGCATCTCCTCTGACTCATTGCCCTCTGGGAGTGGTTCCGTCATTATCTTCTTGTTACCTATGTGTAGTCAACGAAAAATACAAACTACACGCTCAGCGAAACCGCTGAGTGGTACCACGCTAGAATTGTAGAATATTTCACAGACATATACATATATAGATACATACATACATACATACATACATACATACACACACACACACACACACACACACACACACACATATATACACACACACACACGTCCACAAAAATGTATAACAATATTCATGATATGGCACATTATATCATATGGTCAAGTTGATGGTTCATAATGATAAATATTTAATGATAATTACATGATGGCACATTTAATTAATTTGATTGTTCTTGATAATGATTACATGACACATATGTAATCAATGTAATTGTACTTGATGATAATAACATGATGCATGAAACTAACGTGCAAGGACGACCCTTGCATCGGGTTTTCAAGAAAAACCGATGCCGTTGCTCAATATTATAAATTTCAAAAAATATTTTGAAATGTATTTGCATCGGTATTTACTAAACAACCGGTGCCTTTGATATAAGATTTGTTTTTAATATTTTACAAAAACGGCAATAATTCTACACAATGAAGCAACAGTATAGAAACTACACATTCATGTACTACACAACACTACTTATAAAAGATATAAGTCTCAAACATTGAAAGACAATTTAAATTTCATTGTATACATCCACCAAAATGTAAAGACTTAACATACTACACAACTTACAACACAAAGTTGTGTCCAACTAACAAAACGGGTTAAAAAGTATACCAAATTAAACTAAATTTGTTTGTCACTAGGGATAGAGTGGCTAATTCACTAACTCATCTAGTGTAACACCCTAATCCGTCCAGGTTTGCAGCCCCTTCCAGACTAAAGTATTAACTTGGTAATCATAAAAACTTTTCAAACACACTTTATTAATCCCAATAATTTTTCATAACATATACAGTACGGAGTATTCAACAATATTGCGGAAGCAAATTTAATTTTGACATATCATAAATCATTTCAAACTTGTCACATCCATCCCGACAATCTCGCCCATCTGCTGCTAGGATCACAGTGTTCTTTCTGTTGTACCTACGTGTAGCAAATAAAACACACTACACGCTCAGCGGTAAAGCTGAGTAAGCATATCTAATGCGTCGAACATCCATATAAACTGAATCTAAATTCATAATCAAATCATTTGATATCATGTACACAATGTTCATTTAAGACATTCACAGTTTTGGTATTGTTCAGTTCATATCAACACATTTTATTCAATTCAGATACTATTTCAATAGTGCTCTTAAATTATTCTTAATCTAAGGCCAGATCATAACAACGCTCTTAGCTATTCTTAGTCTAAGGCCAGATCATAACAATGCTCTTAGCTATTCTTAGTCTAAGGCCAAATCATAATTTCCATAATCACATTCTTAAAAGGCAATTATTAATCAGACACTTAAACTATCATTAGTTTAAGGCAATTGATTTCGGACACTTAACTGTAGTCAGTTAAGGCAATCAGACACTTAAACTATCATTAGTTTAAGACAATTGATTTCGGACACTTAACTGTAGTCAGTTAAGGCAATCAGACACTTAAACTATCATTAGTTTAAGGCAATTGATTTCGGACACTTAAATGTAGTCAGTTAAGGCAACAACAATATAGCGATTGGTCAACAATGGATCGGGCATTCCCAACGAGTAATCCTCTAGTTTGGTCTACGAATCCCGTTTATGAATTTATATCTAATTCATCAACTATTCATGTTTTCATAAGTTCATTCTAAGATATATTCTAGAGGTCTTCTAGATAGTCTTAACATTAATTAGCTAATAGGTATATCTTAAAGTTCTTCTAGATATCCTTAACAACATTATTCATCAATTCATACTCTTAGTTCAACAATCATTTCATCCAGAATATTCATCATCATTAATCCATAATATTCATAAAAATGAACAATCAATCAATCATCATAATAACTAATAACAATCAGCGGCCTAGCATCGAGTGTTAACACCCTAGCTTACCGTCATGCATCACATAAGATCCCTTTTAGTTGTTAAAATACCATCTTTATTCCAAGAAATCATCCTTTTATTAATCATAATGGTTTGGTATAAAAATATAGGATTCCATAACTCAAAATCATATTTTCTAAATAACAATTGATTAATATATGATAGGAAATTCAATTATTAGCTATTAGCTTCATTTTCTTCAATAGTGTAGGGTGACAGTCTACTGTCACTTCTGATAATCTATTGTCTGATGTTCAGAATGGGCTGATAATCGATTATCACACTCTGATAATCGATTATCAAACTTCAGAGAGGGCTGACAGTCGATTATCACATTCTGATAATCGACTGTTGCTCAGCTTTGTTACAAAAATCTGCAGAATGATGAATAATCGATTTTCAAGTTGATAATCGATTATCCATCGTCTTCTACCTCGAGCCAACTTGCGGAAATGTCACTTTTTTTCACCAAACTTCAATTAAAGTATATAAAAGTGTTATCCAAGGTTCATAGATCATTTTGGCATCATTAATTCATAGTTTTAACATCAAAATCATGGTTTACGATTCTTAGTTCTTCAAACATGTCAAACACAAAACTCAACCAAATGAACGTTTATGAACGTAAAATCGATCTATATGAGCATTCTAGTCACTAGATATATCTACGGGCTTACCTCGAAGCTTAATGGAGGTTTTGGAAATTTTCCGGCGAAACTTCCGGCGATGATATCTCTTAATTCCGACGACTTCACACCAAATTGACAACACCACTGCGTTCTCCTCACTAAGAGCAACAGAATAGGATGAAATATTTTGAGAAATGGTGAAGAAATGGTTAAGCTTTGGTAGTCTTATATAGGAAGGAGATGGGGAAACTTCCAAGCTTGCTGTATCTTTCCAATCGGCGTATCCTTAGTGGAGGAGGAGGCGCAGTCTCTACAGTGTCCCTGATTGGGACCAATTTTGGTTCAGTCGGGGTACACTTTTTGGTCCAACTTTCTCCGAATTGAAATCCGTTTGCATCTTTGCGATCAGACAGTCGAATTCTATTCAACTATATAATTTTTATATTTATTTGAAATATTTTTTTTCGACATCATATTTTTGAGTGTTTGACTTTGACAGAGTCAAAATTGGTTTATTTGATCTTTATTCAAAAAGGTTCTCACATTTAATTCATATCATTTGTTCTTATGATTTATTTCAATAAATCATTTTAAAGTTCATTTATAAATAATTTTTTTATTTATTCTTGATTTGGGTCTGTACTTATGTTCCCAATCAAGACCACACAAATACTCAACATATTGGATTTATCTCTATGAGACTTATCCTGATTTGTGATATTGGATGTCAAAACACATTTCACTTCGGCCCAAAGCCCAATAACTATTTATTTTAATCGAAACAAATTTGACTAATTGAATATTTTTTCATTAAAAATTTTAGAGTATGTTTTGGGGCGTTACATCTAGAAAGGTGTTTGCCCACATCTTTCGTAACTCATCAAGTTGTTCAATCGTATATGGATCAAAAGAGTTGAACACCTGTAAAAACAAAAACAAAAAAAAGAAAAGAAATCAAAAGAAAACATCTTTGATAGGAAAATAAGTGATATTCATCATGATGATGAGTATAAAAAGTCAATACAACACCATCAAGAAAACCCATACAATAATTAAAGACTAACCCTTGCAAATTACCTCTCCACAAAATTAGCATAAAAGGCAAATTTCTTTCCATTCAATCATAGTAACTTACCGTTTCTATTGGAACGGATTCACGGGCACAAAGACTGATGATTAGCCACATAAACCTCATGATATAATACCCACACTCTGTTACACCGGGTTGTTGTGGTACGATACCGACATCAGTCCACATGGGTTTCATTTTAAGAAAACCCATCCCCTGTACTCGAAGGATCCTCCAAGATCTTCGATCAAATTTCAAAATAATTAACCATCATTCGAGTAATACATGAGAAAACACAATTAAAATATCAATTGCATAAAATAAAGATAATATACACTTACTCGTTTACGTAACTCTTCAGTGTAAGATTCTTGGAAGTCCCCATCCCCAATGCCGAGTTGAAGTAATACACTTTATTTTCATAATAACGTATTACTATCAATGTATAATGATGCCTGCGATTAATACAAAACCTTATTACTTAATTATAAACCAAAAAAATCTACTAACCATAATAGGTTATAAAATTAAGTACAGATTACATACGTTCTCTCACAGAAGAATGGAAGAAGAACCCAAGATTTTTCTTTATGATCTAGCAACATCCTTTCCACTGGCTTACGGTTTCCATTTTTTACCATATGCTGGAGGTCGTCCGGACACACTAACCCGACATTCCGAATGTCGTGGGTCCTAATGTAGCCATACAAGTGTCTTCGAATAATATAATATATATGTGCATTGTAGATAAGTCATACACACAGATACAAATACATAAGTCATTATACGTGAATACATAACTAATTGAGTGTCTAAAATTAAGATGTAAGTATACCTCATAAAGATCTCGACGATGCTATTATCGATCATCTCCCATCGCAGGAACTCCTTGATGTTTTCAGGATTAATGTTGAACACCCTCTCCTCTGCATAGCCTAATGCCCAAGGTTCTATCAAGATCTCAATGTTTGTGAGGTCCTCCATTCGTGTCAACCAGTGGCACAAATCCCTACACCTTGGACCTAAAGTCGCATAGAGCCCGGGTTCAACGACACGCTGGAAGGGAGGCTCAGTATGAGTATGAGGCTGCTGTGAGGAATGTTGACTAAATGAATGATGAGAGTTGAGTTGCTGCGAGGAATGATGACTAAGGTGGGGAGAATCCTCCGAGTACGCTGATACACGGGAGAATCCTTTGGTAGAAGATCCCATGCCCCTCAAGGTAGGTAGGACAGGAGACCCTAATGGAGGCTGCATATACTCATTTATAAGGTCATAATATAATTGAACTAATAAATAATAGAACGAAAGAAGTCCGAAGAAGTAAGATTAATATATACTTACATCTCCAAGGTGAACCAAGGCTTTTGGCCAGGCACACATGCTCCCCAAAGTCGAAGAAACAGTGGTGTGCTCATCCGTCGGAGTCGGTATAGGATAGTCCCCCATACCATCAAGCACCACATCCATAGATACTTTGACATGGTTGTATGGGAGGGGAGCATTGTGAAGGGACACTCCTGGAGAACACGGGAATACTGATCCACGTGCCACTATGGCATCAATAGGATCAGTAATACTCATGTGGCAACGACTCATCTTCAAAAAATGAGAATACACAAGTTTAATAAATATGACTTTTAAAACATAAATTTGTCTATATAAAAAAGGTTTACCTCAGTAAGGTCTGCAAATGGGTCAAGATCTACTGAAGCCTTGCTGCTCTGCTGAAATTGTGGTGTAGACATGGGCAATTGTTGCGAAATGTTGGCAATGTTCTCAATGCTTCCTGACACTTGAACTCCAAGAGACTGAAAAAGCTGGGGAAGTCGTTGTGTGTACATGGTGAACGCGTCATTAAGGACAGAGTTCCTGAACTGCTCCAAGTTGTCTTGCGCCATGAACAATCCATCAGACTTTTTAGAATTCTTTTTCCCCTTAAAAACATTTCGTAGCCCGACGAGTGACCCGACACCTCTAGTCCTGCCAGGATGCTCAGAAGTACCGAGTGAACGAGTGAGAATGTCATCATGTCCAACAGCCGTGAAAGTCCCTGCTTGAGCATCAGCTTTCAACTTAGTCTCACGAATGAGGTAAGACTAGAAAAATGATGGTGGTACTCGAAAGCCTGAATACCATGTACGTACACTAAGCCCGAACGTGGCATGCTAAGTCTCGCACAATCACGCTATAAGAGACGCACGAGGCATGATCTCTTACGCATGCATATGATGTGAAATGCTTCAATATGAATGATGAGATGAATGATATGATATGAGCAATTTGTAAACAATATGACTATATAATCATGCATGGGTTGAATTGGATGAAACATGATAAAAAAATCACTTAATTAAGCTACTGGTCTTGGAACGGTCGACCATTTGACACGGCAGTTGATCGTGCTCTAATTCAATTCGTCACTTTGGAAACACCATGACGGTCGACCATGGTTGACTGGCGGTCGACCGTTGTTGATTGCCTGGAAGTGGCGGCGTTTGGCTGGGCTAGCGACGGTCGACCGTTTGACGATGGCGGTCGACCGTTCTTCTGACAGTCATGGTCCGTTTTGAAAATTTAATACGACGGTCGACCGTTTGCGTCGACCGTTCGGGTCTGCGAAATACTTCTTTAAGTCTTTTAAACACCTTTGATTAACATATACATGTTGTTGGGTTGTTTTCCAATATTTATATTTGTTGTTGTATATTTATTATCTTTATGCATTTGGGGTATTTTGATCTCAAAACATGGATGACTTATATATGTATCACATATATATTTTTGGGATAATTTCAACGCATGGATTAATATATATGTTCATGTACGTATGTGATGAATGATTCGACAAATCTAACGCAAAGGTACAGACCTGGGAATCAATGGCCGAAACCTTGCAAAAGAACGGGAGTGAAAACAACGTCGAAATTCACCAACTTTGTCATTCCCGTCACAATTGGACAGCCTGCCGGATTCTGGTCATATCTCCATCGTTTCTTCACGGAATTGCAAACCGTTTGATTTTGTGGATTCCTAATATGTAAGGCTATAACTTTCTTATAGAAAATATTTCGAGTTAACATACGTAAGATAGCGTAAATCGGACCTGAAGTCAAGGGACAGTTGCTGTCCAGGATTTTCGAATACCCCGATGAACAATGGTTCCGACGATCAACTCATCAACTTCAATATTCCAACATCGAACCTTCTCTACGATACCTTCCGGATGTTCTTAATAATCGTTAGAGAGTTTATGGTGAGTGTTTGGAATGAAACAACATGAATATGGTGAGGAAACATAGCCAAAATAACCATTTTAAATGCGCCAAAATACCAAATTTAAGTGCTCCAAAATAGCAAATTTCTTGTAGTGTTAACGAAATTGCGAACCGTTTGTTGGGCTGGATTCGTAACATCCGGGCTACAACTTTGGTTCAGAAAGTATTTCGAGAAAATGGATGGAAAATTACAGAATTGACTCACAAGTGGGTTGATTGTTTTATGCTCATGATTTTGGATACTTAGATAGTTTTTTTCTTGTTTCTTCTTCTTCCTTGAACCAACTATGGAGGATGGGCTGTGTTTTCTTCTCTCGTTGAAGCTTCCATTAGAGACGAAATAATGGAGAGAGAGAGATGGATGTTGTGTGAGGAAGAATTTGACAAAGTGGTTTAAAATGATGATGTACAAAATCATGAATATCCATTGTTTTTGTAAAACACTAATTTCAAAAAGTTGTTTTCTCTTTGTTTTGTTGAGTGTCATGATTATGACATGTTCTCTTACGAGAAAAGATATACGCGGATGATAGATGTAACATGTTTGAATTTCTTTCATGAAGACTTGCTTCAAATATACTCTTAGACTTGCTCTTGTCGTGTTGTAGGAGTTTTCAGAAGTTCTTATATGGGTTGTGTTTCGTGAATGTGGGGTAATTTACAAAATTTCCCCTTTTCCAATTTTTTTTGAATTATTCTCAAACGACTTTGTCTGGAATGATGGTTTCACAAATTACGTTTCGTTGTTTACAAGCTGGAACGAATTGTTTCTAGATTTGACGTTTCTACATAACAGTATTTTGGGGAATGACTATTATCATAATCATCATTCTAGGTTTCCTAGATGAATACGTAATCATAGTTTCAAAACTCGAACACTCATTAGCGATCCTTAATGGAGTTGCTCTGACTAACATGACGTCAACAAGATGATTTCACATTGTTTATGCATGCCCATAACTGTAAACACGCATATCACACCTATGTACAACAATAGTATATGTTTTTATCACATCGTAATGATTGGATGAACTTTTTGATAACACTTGCCATTTTGTCACTGTTTGCCTTATCAATATGATATGTAGTTATTCTTGAATACTGATTTCCTGATTGATAATTCCAGAATTGCCTTGGAATTTCAGACTTTTTCTCAATAATTATGAAAGAGCTTCATGCTTGAAAATTAAAATATTAGTGTATTCGTCATATCACTAATATTTGTACTTCACACAACAGTTGCATTACTTATTGCCAAAAACATGATAAATTATACACGTAGTCATATTCTAATATCTTTGGGATTCTACAAACACATGAGTGGTTTCTCTTGGTGCTCCGCCCAATTGATTTGGGTGGGGATCACATTCACTTTCAGTGTGGTCATATTCGCCACATAAGTGACAACTTTTCCTTTTCCTCGGTCTTGGAGATGGATCAATTTGCAAATTCTGTGTTCGTTTACGTTGAGTAGATGGTCGTACTTCTAATTCTTTCCCCTTTTGCGAGGGTTGTCTTGGTTGATCCTCTTGATTTTCTATCATTTCTGATCTTTCAGCTAATCGTACTAAGGCTTGAAACTTCATCGATGATGACACATTCATTATTTGTCGAATGTGTGGATTTATCCCAACTATGAATCTCCCACTGAGTTGTTCTTCACTTATTGCTCTCTATGGAAGATAGTCAATTACGTTCTGTAGAAGTTCTGTAAATTCCATCATAGTGGATTCACCCTGTGTTCTTGATGAGAACACAATTTCAACACGATCACGATTAGCTGGCGAAAAGTGATAAGCAATAAATTCTTCTACAAAGATTGGCCATGTTGGTTGGCCTTCAAGCTTTTTCTTAGTTCTTTCACACCATATACGAGTGTGTCCGGCTAATAGTTCTTCAGCAACACGAAGTTGAAATTTTTCAAGCATCACCAAGTCATGAAAAACTTTGATGATTTGCTTCAGCCAGGAATGTGCTCCAGTTGCATCGAGATTTCCATCATAGACATGACATCCCTTGTTGATAATATCAACTAAAATCTTTATGTAGTCAGAGTTTGATGAGTCGATGTTACCTAAAGGTAAAGGAACTTCTCAAGTTGTTAAAGATGGTGTTGGCGTTATTCGTGGAGGGTTTGGAGTTCGTGTTTCTCTAACAGTTGGTATTCGATATGTTGTCGTGATCTAAGGTTGCATGGGCGTCATTGATGGTAAGCCATTCTATGTCAATTGTATTGGAACTCGTACGTAAGCATGATCCCTTGGAGGTTGGAGTATGTTCTCTCTTTGGTTTGGATGTTGGCGTCCCGTGGATTGGGCAGAAGTGTGGGCTCTTATTCTCAATGAAGCCATATTCCGTTCGGAGTTTATATGTAAGATTTTCTCTATTTTTCTTTCTCTCTGTTTTGGTTGTGTATGCTTTTTGCAATTCTCATCTTGAATTTATAGTTGGGGTTGAGATATACGACATTATTATCGTAGATGTATAGCCTTTGGACTATAGGATCGTCTTTAAATCTTTGTCATTATTCACCCGCGAATTGAATATGACTTAAAGCACCCAATAGTATTGCACCCGTGATTTGACTACGACAGGAAGCATACAATAATCCTTTGCCCGTGATTTGAAAAGATATGCGGTGGCGGCCAATCTTGCAAATCAAACTCAATATCATGGTCACATAATTATCTATACTATAGTCTTCATATTATCGACGTCTAACCAACGTTATGTGTGCAAATTTACTCGTTACCTATTGTAGATTTGTTATCCTATTAATTCCATGTGGTCGATATGAATTCTAATAAAAGAAATCCTCGTGTTTCTTCCTTCATCTTGGAGTAGTAGACTTGTTGTGACTTCATTATATTGAGATATTGGCATTTTCTGTTAGTAGAATCACTTCACCTGCTTATGACGTACTTCTTGATAGCTTTGCTTCCATATGGTTTTCTAACGTTTGTATTTAGATTCACTTCTATAATGCGTTTCAGATTCGATACATATGTCATATTCGATCTGGTTTGTGAGGCTCTGTTCGTGTTCTTTAAAAAACGACAGATTCACTTTTGGGGAATTTATTCACTTTCTATCAGAGAAAGTTCTTTCTTCAACGTATTCTTTGGGCTAACCAAAGTTGATTCACATCGTTCACTGAGCCATTGGCGTACTACGACATACGTATATGCCGTGCCTATCGGATTTACAATCTTTCTTCTTAATCCTTGATCTTTTGATGTCGACTGTGATCGTCGAAGAACATTCTGAGGCAATTTAAACTTTATTGCAATCGGGCCTATGAGCATACTAGCAACTCAAAGGAAGCAAATTTTCAATGAGTTAAGTACATGTGTTATGCCATAGTAACTTACTTGTTGATTACCTTCCCGGGGCAGAAATGTCGTGGAGGATGCGGATGCAGGACTTTGAAAATACTAACTCAATGATCCGAAAACCGTTTTTAACACCACTTGCTTCGATACTAAAATGTAACACCCTAATCCGTATAACCCGGAATTACATGAATTAAGGTGAAACCGAAGTTAAATAAAAATTTCGCTTGACATTTGAAAATGACAATTTCTTATAAATATTAAATTTACAGACTCTAGATCGCGACCCATTAAAAAATATTTTCGGAGTAATGCGGAAATCCAATAGTAATCAAATCATGACACATTTAAAATTTTGATGATCAAACATTTGCCTGCAATCCTTGCATCTCCTCCGACTCATTGCCCTCCGAGAGTGGTTCCGTCATTATCTTCTTGTTACCTACGTGTAGTCAACGAAAAATACAAACTACACGCTCAGCGAAACCGCTGAGTGGTATCACGCTAAAATTGTAGAATAATTCACAGACATATACATACATACATACATACATACATACATACATACATACATACATACATACATATATATATATATATATATATATATATATATATATATATATAGAAGAAGAAGAAGGAGGAGGAGGAGGAGGAGGAGGAGGAGAAGAAGATAACGGAAGAAGGGATGTTAATGGAGAGATGACGGATTGTCACTATGTAGTCAATTTTCGAATATAAGGTATTACGTCGGAGTATATTTTGAAAAACAATACCTCTAGCTCAATCCCATTTCCGGCAGAAGGAAGGATCAACTCTGTTCGAAACCACTGGCGACTGCTTTTCTTCTCCGATCATCTCAGCCCCAACTTGCCAGAAGCATACATCACTCTCGCCTAAATTCTCAGGCACACGACTCTTTTCGTTCCATTTCTTATTTTTCACACCCCCACTTCTCTCCTCCCCAAACCCATACGCCGTTCCGTTGTTTTTCTTCTCCTAACCTCGCCGCCGATCGCACAGACCTGCCGGATCAGATCTCTATTTTGTCTGATATTTTCTCTAAACCGGACAAAAGCAGTGTGGATATCCGGCTTGAATTGGAGTCCACCGATGTTGCAATAACTCACGATTTGGTGCTTAGGGCTTCGGAGAATCAGGGATTTGCCCCTGAATCTGCTCTCAGGTTGTTTGATTGGGTTGTAGAGAACGAGAGTGAGAGATTGAGTTCTAAGTCATATAATCTGTTGCTAGAGATACTGCTTGAAAATGGCAGTGTGAATGAGTTCTGGGAAACGGTTGATGCTATTAAGAAGAAAGGGTAGGGAGTGTCTAAGGGTGTGTTTGATATGGCTTTGGTATAATTTGAGAAGGAAGGGCTAACCGGCGATGTTCAGAAGCTGAGCCAGTTGAATGCTCTTCGATCGACAGATAATTCCGTCGAGGAGGTTAGTACAAGGGTATGTAAGATCATACGCGGAAATATCGTTTGGGATGAATATGTGGAAAAACAGCTTCAGGGTTTCAACTATACTAGTGATTCGGTTTCCATGGTATTGGTGAGTCTTGAACATGAAATCAATAAAGGTGTGATCTTTTTCAGGTGGATCAAAGAGTGTGGTTTGTTTAAACATGATGGTTGTACATATAATGCGATGGCGCGAGAATTTTAGGTAAGAGGGGCTCAATAGAGATGTTTCGGAAGGTTATGGGTGAAATGCGAGATGCCGGGTATGGATTTGAAACCTCAACATACTGTGAAGTCTTTAAACACTTTGCTACTAAGAAAATGATCAAAGAAGCTGTTGAGCTCTATGCGCATGCAATGGAAGGTGCAAAGTAACCATCTCAGCGGGATTACATTTTTCTTTTGAAGAAAATATTTGTTGGCAAGGATCTTGATATGGATTTGTTCTCAAAAAGTTTGAGGGTTTGTGAAAAAAGCGAGAAATTGTTGGCAAGATCCCCTCTTGACCTCTGAAGTCATTGTCCAGAACTGGTAGATGGGGAGAATGCAGTGAAATACTGAAAGCATTGAAAAGCTATGGCATTACACCTGGCCACTCCCAGCAGAGTAAGATTTCGTATTATCTCAGTTTGTATGTAAAGAATGGCGAGGTAGATGAGTAAGTGACTGATATCGATTCATCAGGTTCCGGTTCGAGTTATAAAGCGTAGGCATCTTTAGTTGATGGATACTGTAAAGCCTATAATCTTAGCAAAGCCTAGGATGTGCTTGAGAGAATGATCGCAACAGAAGGGCATTCTCATGCCAAGAGGAATCAAGAATTGTTGGTTTCGGCATATTATCGCAAGAATTGAGCTAAATGTGCCTTTGAACTCATTCTCATTTAGAATTTGTGCGCTGAGAAAGACTTGTTTCGCCCTTGGCAAAGCACGTATAAGCTGGTGTTAGAGAATTTGTTAGTTAAGGGACCTCCCACGGAAGCTCTAGAAGTTCTTCATATGATGAAGCGTCATGGGTACCCGCCTTCTACCCCCCGAGTTCATCCAGTATGTATCTAAACGCGAGAGTGCCAAAGATGCCCTTGCATTTTCAAAAGCAATGAGTGCGAAGGGATTTTCTTCGAAAACTGTTATTCTCAGTCTGTTTGAAGCATATTTCAAAGCAGGCAGGCATAGTACAGCGCAAGACTTTCTTGCCAAATGTCCAAAATACAATCAGGAAAATTCCGATGTGTTGAATCTGTTTTATTCCATGAAACATGTGAAACCATACGAGACCAAAACAGCTCCCGTGGCCGCCTAGTCTCCAAACAAGATTAACTATCTCATGTGTTTTTGATATTTAGAGATTTTTCAGTGTTCTACTTTCTCCTACTGAATGGAAGTCAGGAACACGACGAGAAGGTTTGTTTGTTGTGTGAGATTCCTACAAAGTTGGACTTCCATATCTGCTAATATTTGGAACTATGTGTTCAATGTTGGCCATCATATTATCAAGTTATAAATCAAACTTGCACAGTTAAATATATATATATATATATATATATATATATATATATATATATATATATATATATATACACGTCCACAAAAATGTATAACAATATTCATGATATGGGACATTATATCATATGGTCAAGTTGATGGTTCATAATGATAAATATTTAATGTTATTTACATGATGGCACATTTAATTAATTTGATTGTTCTTGATGATGATTAATGACACCTATGTAATCAATATAATTGTACTTGATGATAATAACATGATGCATGAAACTAACGTGCAAGGACGACCCTTGCGCTATGAGATTTGCCCAGTTTGTACGACGAACTCACGCCACCTTAGTCTCACGAATGAGGTTAGACTAGAAAAATAGGGGTGGTACTCGAAAGCCTGAATTCCATGTACGTACACTGAGGCTGAACGTGTGATGTCGGACTGCTAAGTCCCGCGCAATCACGCTATAAGAGACGCACCAGGCAAGATCTCTTACGCATGCATATGATGTGAAATGCTTCATGAATGATGAGATGAATGATATGATATGAGCAATTTGTAAACAATATGACTATATAATCATGCATGGGTTGAATTGGATGAAACATGATAAAAAAATCATTTAATTAAGCTACTGGTCTTGGAACGGTCGACCATTTGACACGGCAGTTGATCGTGCTCTAATTCATTTCATCACTTTGGAAACACCATGACGGTCGACCGTGGTTGACTGGCGGTCGACCGTTGTTGATTGCTTGGAAGTGGCGGCGTTTGGCTGGGCTAGCGACGGTCGACCGTTTGACGATGGAGGTCGACCGTTCTTGTGACAGTCATGGTCCGTTTTGAAAATTTAATACGACGGTCGACCGTTTGTGTCGACCGTTCGGGTCTGCGAAACTTATTCTTGATGTGTTGAGTTTCTAAAATACTTCTTTAAGTTTTTTAAACACCTTTGATTAACATATACATGTTGTTGGGTTGTTTTCCAATATTTATATTTGTTGTTGTATATTTATTATCTTTATGCATTTGGGGTATTTTGATCTCAAAACATGGATGACTTATATATGTATCACATATATATTTTTGGGATAATTTCAACGCATGGATTAATATATATGTTCATGTACGTATGTGATGAATGATTCGACAAATCTAACGCAAAGGTACAGACCTGGGAATCAATGGCCAAAACCTTGCAAAAGAACGGGAGTGAAAACAACGTCGAAATTCACCAACTTTGTCATTCTCGTCACAATTGGACAGCCTGCCGGATTCTGGTCATATCTCCATCGTTTCTTCACGGAATTGCAAACCGTTTTATTCTGTGGATTCCTAATATGTAAGGCTATAACTTTCTTATAGAAAATATTTCGAGTTAACATACGTAAGATAGCGTAAATCGGACCTGAAGTCAAGGGACAGTTGCTGTCCAGGATTTTCGAATACCCCGATGAACAACAGTTCCGACGATCAACTCATCAACTTCAATATTGCAACATCGAACCTTCTCTATGATACCTTCCGGATGTTCCTAATAATATTTAGAGAGTTTATGGTGAGTGTTTGGAATGAGACAACATGAATATGGTGAGTGTTTTAGTGCACTCATAAAACTGAGGATTAGTTCCTCATCTCGATTGACCACGGGTCTAGAATCCACCATCTTAAAATTCAAAAGCTTACAAACAACGAATTTCTTTGCACTGACGTCCTCGACATGGTGTTTGTTCAATAGTGTAATCCATAACTCCTTAGCAAACGAGGCCTTGTAGTAGGCTACATACAAAGCATCATTTAAGTAGTTCAGGACATAGTTAAAGCATAGATTATTATTCAGATTCCATGCCTTACTCGCCTAAACAATCGGCTTGTCTGCATCTTCCCTGCAGTAGGAAAATCCTCCTTTAAGTAATTTGGAAGGTTGAGAATGATCAATAAAAACATCTTTTGTTGCCATGTCTTAAATTCCACACATGTGAACTTTACTGGCCTTTTTATAGAGTTCACAAACACTAAGACAACAAGGCATCTGACTATTGCCGATGTGAAGGCACCTACGTTCGATCCAAAAGACCCCTTAAATTTATTTTCTTGAAATGTCTTTGTAGAAAATTCTAAATGGATTCGAGATTAATAATGTAAAATCTCAAATAATACAAGTTTACTCATTGAACTATAATTCTCAAACAAATTGAAATAGAAGGTGAACGTGCATCAAGCTGTGTCGTTATCCCTTTTTGAATAGTCCAACTAAGCCTTTAAAGAATTACATTCATAGACTCATGGGTCATAACATAACTATGCATGACCGGTTGGACTCGGCTAAGAAGCTCCACAACCTCAGCGCGAAGAAACCAAATGTGAAAAATGTAAATGGTATAAACATGTGTTGGTTGTTAAGGAAAACTCTCTCGTATTTGATCACTTCGCATGAAGTAGCTTTTAATGCAGTCTAGCACTACCTTTAATTTTTAAAAGTGTTTTATAAAATATTTCAGGAAAATGAAAAAAAGTACAAGCTTTCAACAAATTTTAAGAATAGCACAAGCTTTCAACAAATTTTAACAATAGCAAAACCTTTGGTTTTTGTAAAATAAAAGCATCTATTTATAATTTTTCTCATATTTAGTTACACCCTTACTTATTTTGTTAATTTTTAAATAATTACTATTATAATTGGGCCTAAAATTATTAGGGAATATATGTTCATGCTATAATCATAAACTAGTATTTTTACCTGAGCGACACACGAGATCAAACAAATTTTTTGTTGATTTTAAACTTTTTTCAATGCAATATTTTTTTCTGGAATTAAGAAGATATATTTCTCACATGATTTTTAATGATATTAATTAAATAATATTTGAGAAATTGAATGTGTACTCAACAAATTTTGTTTTAATACAAGGTTTTTAGAAAGACTTCATGGTATAAAACATGTTTGGTATGCTTCCAAGGATTTCCATTGTCATCAAGAGTCCATATTTTTAGTCATGTCTTTATAGCGTTGACTAGAGGAGGTGGACGGTCGTTCCTCAGTGGTCTTCTTTGGTGCGGGTTTGCCTGAAGCAGCCATGGCTCCCAATATGCTTTCTTCTTCTCTATTCTTATTTGCCTCCAGCTCCTCGGCTTCGACCTCGTCTTCAGCCATGGCTATGGCCACGAAATATTCATTCGGCTTCTCCAGCACCAAGCGCTTAGAGAAATCACTCAATAGTACGACCATGTGAAAAGTGGACAACTCTGTCGTGTCATTTTCCCCACAGACCTTGGTGGTCTCCAACTTCCACCTCATGAGGAAGTCCTTCAATAGCTCGTCTAGGTGGATGTATCCGAGCCGAGTAAGGATGCGTGTCCGAGTACAGTTGGCATCTAAAGGGTTTGGTTTCCTTTAAGTCCTGCTCAGTCGAGTAAGGGGTCTTTGGCCGAGCGCGACCGATTCCCGTAATTTGATGGTCCTTGTGGGGCCTCTTATTATTTTGCTGGGCTGGATACCCCCCCAGTCCAGGGTATCCATCAAATAATAATATTAATGATAATATAAAAATTAATAATAATGATAATAATAGCAATAGTAATAATCATAATATTAGTAATAGCAATAATAATAGTAATAATAATAATAGTAATGATAATAATAACAACGGTAATAATAATTATATTCATAATAATAATAGTAATAATAATAATAATTTTGTTTAGATCTGATCTGATTGGAGTCGATCTAGTATGGCTGATCTCACCTGGTCTCATCTGATTTTAATAAGAACAAGTAATGAGCAGAAAAAAATAAGTTGAACGGAACGCTGCCTAAACTTGCCAAATTATATGTCGTTGGTAATCTTTTTGCGCTATTGACCCAACGACCTACTTTTTAGTATATAATTTCAACATTATGACTTACTCATATTTTTAGGACAGAAAGAGTAAAATTATATTTTCACCAAATACCTTCTTTGAATTGAGTTATGTTCGCGTTTTCGGATTCAGATTGTCAACTTTATATTTTTCTCACTTTGGATCTGTCTCAGTGAATAATAATTTCTATTGATAAATTAATACTGACAGAACCGCTAAGTACGATCTTTATTTATATTTAGTTGATTCATTCTTTTGATTTCAATCACTTGTGGCTGAATAGAATATCTATATTAACCTTTAGTTCTTTAAAAGAATTACTCCATAAATTATACTTATTTATTTAAAATAGTTTTT